ACATGCTGCAATAAACAGAATTGTCTTTTTATTTGCCATACTCTGAAGACAAGTAGGAAATAAATGTTAGTAGAGAGCCACACTGAAATAAGGTTAGCATTCACCTGACGTTTTGATAAGTTTGAGAGCTGTAAGGAAGGAAGTTGTTTGTCTTATATGATCAACCATCCAAAAGAGAATCAATTATTTTTTTTAAAAGAGAAGGATCGTGCGACTTTTCAAGGGATTTCCTAGACAGGTATTTAGACTGTAATCAAAAGTTCTAGTCTTAATTAAAACTAAACAAGCGGGTTTAGATAAATCAGAAAAAAACTTAAAACTTGGAAGTAAATCAGCTGACCAACTTTAGAAGTGTATCTGACAACTCGACTGATACTAAATATGGACCTGCCAAAAAAATTGTGCAGAGTTGTCGTTGAAGCAAAAGATATGACGGAGAGCCGCAAGTGAACAGTAATTTCATAACAATTTTCTGATTTTTTACTTCGTATATGTTGAATGTTTGATTGTTCTTTGTCAAAAATGTGTCCAAAATAAATCCCACTTTCCAGTGAAATATCACACCTTACCGCTTCAATAAAGCAACTTTTTTCTTCCAACACCTGTAATTCGGCACTATTCGGTTTACTAAAATCAATCCTTTGGCAACTAAACTACTGTTTAGTAGACGGGTGTTCCCAATCCTTATCGATAGCTGACACCTTGAGAAGCCGTCGGCACGGCGAGCGGTAGTCATCAAAAATAGAACACTTTAGTGCACGGCACGGATACTGGCGATATTTTGCGGTAAACGATTGGCGCCGCTGTTTATGCGCGGCAATTGAATATTCAAAATTTCTGCAGCAGTTTTGCACATTATTGTCTCAATGACTTCCGGGGACACAGATACTAAAATCTGGTGGCTGTTTTCGTAGTTAGAGTGCTGTCTCTTTTTTTCGGACTGTTCTAGAGCAAGATTAATGGCAGTACATGTATTTTGGACCGATTTTCTTTTTTTGAAGTGGAGATGCGGTCCTAAATGACGTTGAGCGTCCTTTTCAACCTCATGTGAACTTTAGTCAGAAAAAGCTTAGATAGACATATGTGTTAAACGAAACTGATAATATAATTTTTTGTATCAGGTATGTTCTAAAGTATAACGTGTCGATTGTTGTTGGTACTTGTGACGTTGGTATTTTTGCGAATAAGATTCTTGATTAAAAAAAAAAAAAACAATTTAGATGACAAGGCGAAAGGTCGGCGTAGAACGGAGTCCATTACAAGAGGTAGCATCGAATGCATTTCGTAAAACACGGAAAGTTGACTCGCGTTCTGGTAAACTTAATAATCCCTTATTTTTAAAGCATTGCCTGATTTTTATTAGGAAAAAAGTTTTTGCTGAAATTGGTTTAACAGAGTTAAGAATTTATTTGTTATGATGATTCAGCAAATGCGGGACATTTCAATAACCGTCGTTTTCATTAGAAATATTTTTTAGTTAAATACATTGTTCCTGAAATTCAAGTGCGTTGTTTAAAGTACTACACCCTTGTGTTCTGAGCAGGAGATTAATTCCAGGTGCAAAAATTTTGAAAAAAGAGGACGGATTTCGGTATTCAGATGAGGCGACGAAGTTTAGTGATGATTCCTGCCCTCTTTCGCCAAGTGAAAGAGTGAAAAATCACCTACCCAAAGTATGGTCTTTTTTAAACTTCGTACAGTAAAATATATTTTTATGTCATCAGTTGTGAAACTTGTGGATTATTTCGACAATTATAGAACTTAGGGCTATTCTAGACTAGCAGTAGGCATTAAGGCTGTAACTTTGGCTAAGTAAGGTCTTTTAGGTTGGCTCTAACGACAGCGATCTCTTTGACGATAACTGTTCAGGTGGAGTATCTCCTGAGTCTACTTGTTTAAACAATTCATTTTATAATGACACAAATGTAGCAAATGCTTTATTAATCCGTCCAGACATTGCTAACACGTACCGAACTCCTGGGTCTTCACGATATGCTGCTAGATTTACTAATTGCGATACAGCAGTGGGTGTGTGCTAAGATCTTTATAAATATTACTTTCAGTCCCAATTGAGTGAGTTCAATTTTGTTACTGAAATGTGCTCTCTCCACTGTTAATTTGGTTTTATGCTGCCATTGAGTGGGACATTTCAGTTAGGGTTGAACATATTATTGGAAAGTATATGTGTTTTAGATTACTTCGATAAAATGGAAATACCATCGGAAATTATTATCACAATTTTTAAATATCTGAATAAAAAAGATCTCATGTGTGCGATTATGACTTGCAAACGATTTTACAATGCGGGGTAATAATATACTTTTTGGTCTTATTTGGTACTCATTTTGGATGAATGCTGTTTATAGAAAGTAGTACAAAATAGATTAGTTCTTGAGAGGGACGGATCTTGCTGCTCATTTTGTGATTTGTCAACTAGCCGTTTCACTTTATCTTATTTTATTTTAAAACTTTGAACAGGGGATGAAAGCCGTTTAACAAAAAATCAAAAGTTTTTTACAGTTTTTAGCTTCCAGTAGAGGAAAGTAACTGTTGACCTGATAGGTAATTGACTCGTTTGTTTTTAGAAGTGACTCATCGCTTTGGGAAACGGCTGATGTTTCTGAGAGGATACTGTCGGAAAATGCTGTTCACGCTCTTTTAGCTCGTGGTGTTAAAGTTTTGAAACTCACTGGATCTACTGTTAGTTCGTCAAATCATCTACTTCTTGAACAATTTTTTATTGCATGATGTGAAATGCATTTGGTGGAGCCAGGTGTTATCATATGCAGTATCCGAATAAAGTTTGCTACCGGGAGCACCTTTCAAAAGGAAAAATTTGTTCAAATTTCTCAATTTTTATCTGCGGTCGAAAGTTTTGCAGTGGTGCTTTCTGGCAGAATGGAAGGGTTGGTCTACTATAACACACCCTTAGATTCAGTTGGAGAGTAATTTTTTCCGAAGAGGGTTGGAAACAGTTTTCTTGTCAATTAATGCTAGAATTGCCATCGACACTGAAAAATATACAATTTTTTGACTTCACAGTGTGACAAGGTGTACTTTTACAGGTATAATAAGGTCATATTCATACGAATTGGCTTTACTTTCTGTTTGTAATTCTGAGATTTTTTAGGTTCACAGTTCATCCTTGAAAACTCCTCCCCTTTCGCCTTGTGTGCTGCGCGAGTTTGCAAGAGTTAATTACCTCGACTGTAGTAAAGCCGTCTTTTCTAACATATCTGTTGTCGTTGCTTTGCTGGCAAGATGCAGTGCTTTACAGGTGACTAACTGATACGTGTAAGCGTTTATGAAGGTTTGATACATAAACTATTAGCTACGCTTTTTCCAATAAATGTCGGTTGGTCTTACCTACTTTTATAACTTGTTTTGTTGGTAACTACTCCATTATTCGCTGCAGCTTAGTTCCAACACTCGCTTTTGGAGAGATCGTTTGGTCTTTTAATTCTTTGACACTTCATTGCTTTTTTTTATCAAAGGTGTATGCTAACACTGTATTAATGAGAGAAACTGTCTGATGTTTTTAGATCTTTAACATGTCAAACGAAGATCCACTTTTCATTTCGTGTCTCAACTGCATTTCTTTTTTTGAAAAATGGCTGCTTACATTTTCCTTTGTTCTTTTTCATAATCTTTTTTTTATTAAACGGCTGTTTGGCCCATCCTTAAAGATGATATATATTTAGTTACTTGCAGAAGTTTTAGCCACTTTTAACCTATTCCTTCTTAAGCAAGTTTGACTGCAGAAGAATAAATTTTTCAATAAAACCTTCTATTGTAATGTCTTTCTAAAAGTGCTTCTGTAGTGCAAATTGTCATGATTTTTTCTGTGAAGACAGGTGTCAGTTAGGGTAATTCGTTTGTTAGCAAGTTGTTCGGTTATAAGTGTTTTCAAGTCTCCTGTTTTCTTTTATTTCTTCATAAAATCTTTGATATTCAATAACTTTAGAAGCAGATGATTATGAAAGACCTAGAAAGCAAGATCCGCATTTGAACACCTTTCTCCTGTTACTTTCGGCTAACTAAGATATAATTGTAGGGGCTTGCTTTCGAAAATAATTTTTTGGATGACCAAGTATGCAAGGAGATATCGAAGAACTCTGGTTTGAGATATCTGAGCTTACCAATGTGCTCTGGGTACACTTCTTTAGGCCTGAAAGAGATATGTAAAGGATGCAAAAGGTTTGCTTTCTCTCTTGGTAGGGCAACTTGAGTTATTGTTTATTCTTTTTTTTTCAAAGCAAAATCCTCTTTCCATGCAATTTTTATTAAATTTATGCATAAAGAAGGGAATTTGGAGAAGCTTTTCGAATTTTTACTAGGTGTTTTTTTTTTGTTGTTGTTGTTGTTTTGGTAATTTCACGTATGTTGCTGACGTAAAACATCTTCTTCAGTCTGATCGAGGCAAACTTTGCATGGTCCTCGTTCAATGCCGACCATGTTGAAATCTTATGTAACTGTCTTCCAGCCTCACTGCTGCGTCTAGACATTTCTGGAATAATTGACCCTCATGCTTTACTTGATAAAGGTTTGAAATCTGTTTGGTTTCTGGTTTAATTTGAAAATTTTTAAAATTAAATTTCTGTTACCGGCTCTCTATGGTCAGTATTTTTTTTGGCTGTTTTCTTCCTGTGTTAAAAACCAGGTTTATTTCATATGTGGACACAATTCAGATTCATCTTTTTGCACTTAGGAAGTTCACTGTGTTTTTCTTACTGCTTCCATTATCGATAAACAGTTTTTACGAAGTAGAAAGCGGGATTGACCAAAATTTTTACAGTTTTGAAGCTGTTTTGAATGATAGTTTTTGGCTGCACTAATCTGGGGTAATAACACAGAGTTTGCGGCGAATTGAAGAGGTGGGTTATGGTTAACAAGGAAAACGGCTTTGTTACTGTTAGTAGCTATGTCTTTTGCAACCTGATCAATTACTTCTACCAGCACAAAGATTGTGTTTTCTCTGGAGGTGTTTCACTAAAACTTGGTAGTGTTGCAGAAGGAATGAATAATTTTCAGCAGATTGTTACTCTTGCTGAAGAGCAGTAGAAATTTGCGTGATTGTGTGTAAAGGTCTGACCAAGTCACCAGTGTAGATTTCTAAGCCGTTTTCCTCAAGCTTTTTTTGGGAGTGCTGCAGATTTATGTTCAGGATTCTGTGCATACAATTTTTTAAGCTCAAGTGGTCCTGTTATAATTTGTTGAAGTTTATTGCATAGATAATTATGCCACTTGAAAGTTTTGAAGGATTCAAGACTTTTCATTTTAAAATTTTCAGTAATAGTGCCGAATTCTTATATTGTACAAACTTTTGCTGGTGCAGTTAACAGATATTTTTTGCCTCAAAGAGCTTTCCCGTTACATATTTATTCTTTTAGTTTCACATAGTTCTCTAATTTTCAGAATGCTTTAGAAAGTGATAATGGAAGATTTAATATCTTGAATTTTAGATGTAGTAAAACTAACCAGAACATGCCCAAAACTTATCGATATTGACATGAGCGATTGTCCATCGGTTACCAGTGTTTCAATAAAGCGACTTTTGGGGCTTTCTTCACTGAAAGGGCTTACTTTGTCTCGGTGTTATGGGATTGATGTCACTACGTTTATGTTCGTAAATTTAAGCGATATGAGAGAGTTGTTGTCTCTTCTTTTTTTCTAACCAATGATTTTTTTCACAAAAATTTAAAATTTTTTAGGTTGACTACAAAGCTATCATATCTCAATATCTTTGGCTGTGTAACTGAAGAAGGGCAGAAACTACTGCGGCATCATCTGAAGGACGTTCGAGTCAATGAAATTCCTTACACCGAGATTGCTCGGCCAACTCGTAGTAAGGGTTTCACGATGATTTGGAATAAGCCAGTAGTTGATTTATACTGAGTAATTAATTTATTATAGAAGTTCTGGTCTTAATTTTCCTGATTAGCTAGAATTTAGGAGCTGTATATTACGTGATAATAGTTTACGCTGTACGTTTTTCTTTCGTTTGTTTATATTTACCACCTTAGCACTAACTTCCCAAGAGCTTGTAGCATTCAGTTCTATCCTTCACGCTGTCTTTCACAAATTGAATTTTTTCCTTTGTAATTTTGATACTTTTTTACGGGTTTACAGCTATCGTTTTGTTATACAGTTATTGTTTGAGCCACGTGCTTTTTTTTTTTT